CTGTGAGAGGGGGACCATGCTGGAGCAGGGGGAAGAAGTTCCAGAAGCTCCCCCCACTGAAGATGGAGAAAGTGGCAGCGCTGCCTGCACCCCCCATTCCCTGCCCCTGCGCCCCTGGGGGAGGAGGTAGAGATATCGGGAGCAGAGCTGAGCCCGGGAAGAAGGGAGGGGTGGGGGGAAGGTGTTCTCAAGACGTGGCAATGCTTCTCACTGTCCTGCTCTGTTATGTGTTGTTAGTGTCTGTAATAAATGTATGTTCTTTTTTTCTTCCCCGAACAAGTCTGCCTTTTACCTGTGACCATAACGGGTGATTTACCCCTCTCTGTCCTATCCTGAATCCCAAGCCTTGGCTTTTTTGATCCTTCTCAGCGCTGGGGGGGGGGAAAGGGGGCATGAACAGCTGTGTGGTGCTCAGTTGCCCTCTGAGCTCAAGCCACAACACAGAGTGTTTCAGTGTGTGTGTGATTTGGTGTAACACTGATCTCTAAGAAAGCAAGACTAAGCATATTAGGCTATAGGTTTGAAGGGCCTTTCTCCAGATAGATTTGGAGTAACAGAAGATTCTTCTGCAGCTGAAAACTAAAGGAATGGGTTACTCTGAGATGACCTAAATGATTTTGGAACTGCCAAAGAGAGAAATACATTCTCATTCTGCACAGATTTTCTGTGGAAATACAGGAAGGACAGGAACTTACAGCTTGCCTTGCAACTACCCCCAAAATATTCATCCATTCAGACACTTAGATGCCAGTCTTAACCACCAACACATGACAAACAAGCATAACAAAACTGGACCCTCCTCTTCTAAAACAAACTTTATCCCTCTATGCTATTAAAATGAAATAGCCTCATATCACAATATTTTAAACATACAACTTCTGACTCTGTACATGGGGTGGGGGAGAAACTCCCCAAACTTTTCAAGAGCAAAAGCAAGCCTAAGATGTTACTGTTACTAAAATTAGGACAAATACTGCCTTAACAGCTCCTAAGAGCTGTTCACCAAATACACTTTCAGGAATAACTTCAGAGGTGGACGTGTCTGCTTCCTAAGCAGAAGGATTCACCAGGATCTACTGACATGAGAAGTCAGATTCCTCCTTTGCTCTCCACTGAACAGCCCTTTATTTTCATGTATTATTTACAAGAACTTGGCTCAATATGCAGATGCAGAACAAAGAAATGTGTAACTTAACAGCTAATAAATTCATACCTTATCTCACAGAAATTGCTTTTGATTTCACTAATTAGTCTACATTTTAAAGAGTAATAAATGCCCATCCCTTCTCATGCATGGTTCTGCTATCTATGCAGAAGATTTATGTAAATTGCAAAGTATTACCGCCATAACTCAGATTGCTTACTTAGACTGTGAAGACAAAATTATATTGTCTGCAGAACCAAAACCAATTCTGGACATTTAAAATTGGTCGTGGCTTTTAAACTATGGTCATGTTTGAACTACATGGTACAGAACAACCCTGTGCACTCATTGAATCCCAAAACGCTGTAGCCATTGCAACACTGCTGTACACCCTTCTTTTGGCAGGTCTGCTTAACCGAGAACAACACCCCACTGATACGGCCACCCTTGAACTACTCCTACAGATGCAAGCATTGCGTTCAGTTGCTCAGACCTTCACAGATTGAAGGTCACTGCTGAGACTGGGCATGCCATTTGGTGCACACTGCCTTCAACAGCACTGCTTATCGCCACTGCAAGCCTGTCATCACTTAACAGCCAGCCACTCTGCATTGGATTTTAAGACACAAATGAGAAATCATGAAAGATGTTTAAAATAAATAAACAACCCAACAACCTATGGTATCATAGCATGTGGGAAAAGGAGGTAATCTTACTGAGCTGCAAACAAGATATTTCTAGGACACCGGGTTTTGTGAACATGGAGCAAAAATGGGGATAGTGAAATACTTACCTAAAATAAATAGGTATCAAGGATAAAGAACTCCAAAGATAACATATTCTAGATCTGACAAAATGTTTTTTTTTACCAACAGCTTCAGAATTTTAAACACAGCCTCCTTTAAATACATAAATACCATTTACTTCCTTTGGCAGAAACACAAGTCTATATGAATACTTTTCCAAAGCTAACCGTTCTTATTATGCAAGCATAATAGCTGATTAAAGCACTTTCCAAAAGTTCTCCACCAAGTGGTATTTTAACTAATAGTATTTCCCACTTAGAGAGGGAGGAGGAGAGGGAGGAGGAGAGGGAGGAGGAGAGGGAGGAGGAGAGGGAGGAGGAGAGGGAGGAGGAGAGGGAGGAGGAGAGGGAGGAGGAGAGGGAGGAGGAGAGGGAGGAGGAGAGGGAGGAGGAGAGGGAGGAGGAGAGGGAGGAGGAGAGGGAGGAGGAGAGGGAGGAGGAGAGGGAGGAGGAGAGGGAGGAGGAGAGGGAGGAGGAGAGGGAGGAGGAGAGGGAGGAGGAGAGGGACATTTAAAACTTCAATACCAAGTCAGCCAGTGAAATCTGATGAAATACACAATTATTTCCCCACTTGTAGGGATTCAATGTCAAATGGTGTGTGTGATAGATAAGTATACCTTACAGTGTACCTGTTCAACTCCCTAAAGACCTATGCTTTCATGAAACACTTGAAGCTGTGACAAGTATTTCTACCTCATGTTGATTATATTGAAAAAGTCTAGTGAACTCTGAACGCATTTCAAGAGCTTATACAGATTTATACAGTAGGAAAGTTTTCATAAATCCTTTTCTGACAGATCCTGTATCAGTACCTTTTTCACTAGAGAGCAGATCAAGGTGTGATTAAATTTAAAAAACAAACCCCAACAACAACAAACTACACAGCTCTGGTGTGAGGCAAAAAGCACCCATGCTCAGGACAGCCAAGCAGAAGCAAAGTCTGTCCATAATGATTTTCATCTGGTCCACAGAAACACTGTCTTCGGAGCAGGAACTAACTTGAAGGTCCTGCTGTGTAGGGATTTGTCTGAGGGCAGAGAGCAAGTGGCCTAGATCAAGGTTTAATCAAGAAAGTTCTATTAAAAAACCACCCCAGGCTAAGGGTAGCAGTGTGCTCACTGAATCTGAGCGAAAAAACATGGCAAAACAGAACTGAAAGGGAACTCAATTCCTTAATAGGCTGTGACTTCACGGTTTTTATTAAAGCTTTTCAAAAGAGATCCAGAAAAAATTGCCTGATAAAACGAATGCCACATCATACCACCACCAAGCTTCTCCATCCTTCAAGCTCCCTAATCCAAAACCAGGGGTAACCGTTAAAAGCAACACTTTTTTGTTTCAGAATCATTACAATTCATGCTATTTTAAGAGAGATTATCTTTTTACAAAAATGAAACTGCTGATATGAGACTTCCTGACTCAGTATTTCAGATTGCCATAGGCAGCATCCAAATGCAAGGGTCCTCACGCCTACCAGCAATAGAGAACATCCCTCTTATGAAAATCCATACCAGCGTAAGGCTGTAACTTGGTCTTTGAGATTAAGCTTTTCTCCCTCACCAATAAATATCCCATTCTTCAGTCCTTAAGGTTAATGTTAACAATTTCATTTGTATAGTGGAAATGAAAATTTTGCCCTCTTGCCCCAAAAGATTGTACTGAGCTAGCTTGTGTCCACAACTGCAGTATTCAACGCAGAAAAGGAAAATATGATTACTACTTCTTCTGGGTAACACTTTCAGTTTCCCTTTTCCAAATGCTTTGAAAAGAACAAAGCACCAAATTCACTTTGGAAGGGTGCAGTTCAGAAGACTTGGAATAATTAAAACATTTCAAAGAAGTTAAACTGTCTTAACTATTTCAATTGTACTTCAGAGTGCTCCCATCATATGAGAATCTACTTCACAAACAGGCCAATGGAAAGCTAGAAAGGACTTGCCCAAGAGCATAAGAAAAACAGGAGGATTCGAAAATAGGGCTTGGTTCAAACTATTGTTTTATCCCTATTATTCAAATTTTTAAACTTTTAATGATGGTCCCTCTTGAATTCACAGATTTAACATGCATCCCAACTTCAGAATTACCCACATCAAGAAACCGGCTTGAAAGACAGCAATCACACTGAAGCTACAACTGTAACTACCCCATCAGTTAATACAGATACTAACATTACAGTATATACTAATAATAGCTTTCTTAAGTGCACAAAATCATAAATAATGAAGTGCACATTTTCTTAATTTAAGTGCACCATAAAAACATTCCAAGACCTAGCTAGAAAAAACTAATGGAAAACAACAATACACCCTTTTAAGCAACACTAATGGAATTTAAAGCATTTGTGACTTTGTAGGACAAAGCCTGGGAACACTGCGGAGTTTACTGTCCTTCAAACACAGCACCAGCCAGAACACAACATTCATACAGGTATCTTGTTACACTCTAATCATTTTGTTTAATTGCTGCCATACAGCATCAAGTTAATCACTCAGGGGGAGATCACCAACAGGAGTTACAAACTTTCCCCACCACCCCTAAAATAAAGAACCACCAGGACACTGAAGTGCACCTAGAAGTTAACTGAAGAACACTCCGTGCTATCTGCAACATGGCAGCAAAGCCACTAAATCCATCACATTCAGCACTGGTTACCTTATGCAAGCTGCTTACAGATTTAGCTCTATACATAGCACATGGCCATAGCCCTTTACAAAGACAGAGGAACGAGTGAAAGTGTCTATGACGGACTGGAAAAATGGACCTAATCCTTCCTAAAAAGTCATGAGTTCTTACGCTTTAGTGTTTGGTTTTTTTTGTTTTTTTGTTTTTTTTTTTTTTTTATGCATATAGAAATAGCCACTAAGCCAAAAGAATAACAAGAGCAAAAAAATCCACACATGGTGTCACTGGGGTACATGTTCTTCAACAGACTAGGAAAGTAATTTTCTTTTATCGTTATCCTCAAACCGTATCAAGCCTTATGCAGTCAGCAGCTCAGCCAGCTCCTTTTCATCCACATGGCAACCAGCCACAAATGACAGAAACCGGGAATTTACAGGTTGATCTTGATTTATTTCTAGAGGATAGTACACATGCTGAATTTCAATGCATATGTATTAGTTCATTTTGAGAGCTACATAAGAAACTCAAAATGTGATACAGTAAGGATAGTAAGCAGAATATGAAATCTATGACCACAACAGCCCTTTAAAATATTTGTCTGCTGTCTGCTGCTCTACTAAACTTCACAGCAGCTCCAGGTTGTTCCTATAGCCCAGTCCTAGAAAAGTTCAATACGACATGGATACCCGAGTTACATTTGGCTGGTTTTGGCCATTAAAAGAATGCATGAAACCAGCAGACTCTTACCTCATTCCATCACAGTGAAAAGTTTACCATTTCAGTAAGGTCTGTCGACTGTGTAGCTGGCCTGCCTGATGCATCCCTTGGAGGTTTGGTGGGAACCTTCTCGGTGTTGCAAACAGAAGGACACACGTGCGTAGGGCACAGGAAAGGACTCCTCATGCAGAAAGAGTAGACATATAAGTCACTTCATCTGCTTGAACCTGGGCCTGTACTTTCCTCTTAGTGGCAGGGGAGGCAGTCAACCTCCCCAGCAGGCAGTGACTGCACAATCTTTAAAAGTTGATCTTGCATCTTGTCTGGAACAACATCTCAAAATAAACTTGTGCGGTGGGAGCAATGCAACAAGCCTACACCAGACAGGACAGTCTTTACGATGCAATATAAAAAGAGCTAGAGTGAAAGAGACTCCAAGGCTGATCCAGGTACACACAAGGAAAACACTTTTCAGAATGGAAACAACATGCTACACTTCAAACTTCACTTCTGCATCTTTTGTCTCAAAGTCCTTAAAATCTCAATTTTCAAAAAGGGGCCTAAATCCCACAGCTCATTGGTGTCACTGCCCGATGACACCCACTAAACTCTGCTAGGTCTCCCTCCAAACATCCCAGATGACACCAGCTACCTCAGCACATACATACAATAACACCATAAAGCAGCACTTCTCTACTGCTACCTCCGTGACTTGAAGTCCATACATTAAGTCCTTCTGGAATCTATGAACACAGCAGAAATAAAAGGCAGAAGTTTGTGTCATTTTAGATGTTACTCTTCTCAAAATGCAACAGTACCAAATTCCTGAACACTAAGCATAATTTCCTACTCTATTTTCTGGCAAGTCTGTAAAATTATCAATGTCAAGTACTTGCACAAATGCATGCTCAAAAGAAGGCTAACTCAGGATCTCTATTACAATCTGTGAATTTTTAAAACAATTTTTTAAACCAACCAAAAAAAAAAAAAAAAAAATCAATCTTCCAACAAAAAAGAACTTCTTTATTTTGTTTGTTGAAATCAGCATTCTAAAGTTCAGTCTACTATAAATGTTTATAAGTTAGCAGACATTCAAATATAGAGCAACTGATTACAACAATTGGCCTTTATTAAAAAAATATCTGACTTTCTCTACATACTTTATGAGAAACGTGCAACAGAACAGTTACATAGAGCTTAGCCTGCTGGAAAATCTGGCATGTTCCAGCCCTATAGAAGAGACCATATTAAAAGCACCACTGGCATCAAATTATGAATAGACGCTCAGTGTTATCACAGTACCCTATCAGAAACTGAACTACACCCAGATTTTATTACGTATAGAATACCTCCAGATGTACCTCTAAAGGTGCTGTTGATATGGCTACCCTTCTTTTTGCTTATTCCTCTGTAAACCAGTCTATGAACTCTGAAGGAAATCTGCATGTTAAAGAACAAGGCAAGTTTTTAAAGTGATGCTAAGATACTTACCCTTAAACACAACACCCTTATATTGTGTGCTTCCACAAAGTCTCACAAAAGATGCTAAATACCTACTAAAATAACCCAAATCTTCACATACCATAGGTGATGTGTTCTTCGTGTACGAGATGACAGCTAATTAAGATGGCAAAATGGTAAATCTGAGCACTGATAAGATTTTCTGTTATAAAAAAATTCCTTTACGTAGCTATAATTTCACTAGACTAAGTGGGGAGTAGAGATCTCTTAACACCAACACGAGGAGACTGGAACTATTCCAGCACCATTACACATAACCTAACTATAGCCTCTTAATTTTTTCACAGTAGTTTCTAATTCAGACAGTTAAAAGCAAATTTCTGTAGCATAGATACCTTCTAACTGTTTCAGACTATTTCAGTCAGCCACAGACAGATTTTTTAAGATGGCTCTAATAATGGAGCATTGGAAATCTTACTACCGTTAATCTTATTAAAAGGTAGTCTTTATACTATAACGATAAAACTTTTTAAGGAAAGAGAGCACAACTTTAGTCACTGCCACCCTCGCTCTAAATCTACTGATGAAGATTCACAGAGACCTCAACCAGCTACAGGGTTGTTGCCATTGCTAAAATTAAACTGGCTCCAAAACATCTTGAGTGACTGAGAACTGTGAATTTCATATGAGTAGGCTTATTTTATAACAGATTGACATAAGCAGACTTGACAGCCTGTTTATAAAGGTAAAAACTGAAGTGTTCACATTAAACCTTGAAAGCTGTAAAATTATTCTGCTGTTCCAGGTAATTTCTTCCAGCGTTTGCTATATTAAAGCAGGGAATAGAGCTTTACCTGATCTTATTTCTTTATAGACAGGCTTGATTACAGATAATGAACAGATTTAGGAAATACCTCCCTTCCAGAAAGGATACCGCATGTGAGGATTTGTTAGCTTAATATAAGGAATGGCAGCAGCAAGGAGAAAAATATATCTAAAGTAAAGAGGAAACAAACTTTTGTTTATCAGTGAATTATGTACCAAGGCCACAGACACAGAGTCCTGTAAACTACGCCACAAAAGAATCTGCCATTTGTTTCATAAAATCACTTACAAGAAGAACGTTTGTGACTATATACATCAAGAACATTAGCTGCCTGTTTTCGGTCGTTCTTTAAGTATGGGTCCTAAAGCCACAGCATAAAAGCACACTGCAACTACACAGTCCAGCTTATTGTGTATCAGGTCTCTTTCTCTGGAGTGCTACACGTGGCTAAATACTGCATCTTTGATAGGTGGGAAATTACTATTAAATCACCAAATATTAGGAAGCCTGTATTTCTTTTCGGTCTCTTTGGTGAGAAACTGCTTGAAACACCAAATGCAGATTTTTTCCTAAATCACTATAATGCATTAGGTTCACCTCTAGCAGAAGAAAAAAAAAATTGATTCAATATAAAACCTATCAGAAGCACAATGGCCTAAAAACCACAGTTATTCAGTTTTCCTTTTCTAGCTCATGACACAATCAAATGCTTCCTCTAAAGCATATAGAAAGGCCAGATTTATCAGAGAGATCTGTCACACAATTTCTTCTTTTCCTTCAGACTTCCCAACTCAAATGACCTAGTGTGAAATCTTCAATTCTTATAGCCAGACCTCCATAAAAGCTTACTAACATAATGTAGATGTAATTCTTAGTTAGTAAACTAGCCTTTACATACAAAAGCTTGCCACCCAAATAATGAGTAAGAAGCAAGACCCAACATTCTGTATGGGCAGAGACAGAGCACATTTGTTACAGTTGGAAAGCTGCCGAGTTGAAAGAACACCCTCACAAGAAGGTATAAGGACCGGAATGAAATTCTACAAAGTCACTACAAGGTCTAATTTAATTCAGTCTGAAATGGAAAAAAAACAAAAAACAAACAAAAAAACAACACTTGCTAATAGAACATCTCCATTTTTTTTTTCCTCACTTCAATGTCAGGCAATTAGGATATCACAAAGTCTTTATTCCAGCCACTAAGAGTGTCTTGCTACTTCCCAACAATAAACAAGGTCTTCAGTCAGCAATCATCATCTCTGTTCCTGGGGAATGTGAGCCATATTCTGCTTCCTTTGAACTTTCAAACCGCACATCCCCTAGCCAGTATAAGCTTCTCTCACGCTCTTTCTGTAGCTTAAAAGCATCACTTAGAAAAAGTTTTACGGACATTTTTTTCCCCACCACTGAAATCACACTAAAGGTAGAATAAATGGCATTCAACTTGTAACTGTCTGTGGCTGTTCTGAACTGAAGGTCAAATTAAATTTGGTAATTTGTCTACCTCTGTTTCTCATTTGGAGCATGACAGAATTGGGCAAAGGAACAACTGGTTTACCCTGCACAGTGACTGGTTTTAATCAAAAGGTATGAACATTAAGCTAACTTTGAAGTCTGCAGTGTCCTTGATAACATGGCAACAACTCATACAGAAACTCTGTTTCAGGAATAGACATATTCAAAGACACAGGCTGAAACCCACTGTCAGCTGCACTAACAATAATGAATCAAAGCAAGGAACATGGCATTTTTGAATAAGCAAGGTGTTAAATCTTAGCATGAATCTGTGATAATCCATGGAAGTATTAATAATGGTGAGAATTTTCTCTAAACTGCTTTAAATTTGCAGAATTCATGAGCCATAAGATAAGAGTCATCTCTCCAATCTACTTAGGAGTCAAACAGTTAATCTTGTTCTGCTAGCATTTCATGCATGAGTGGCCTTTGTATCATCAGATTTCTTCAGGCTCTCAGACCCCACGGCTGTACGGAAGGGGTGGGAGAGTCAAGGACAGTCGCAGTCAGAGCAGAGTCCCAGCATTACCTGTGTAAATACTTCCAAGTGCCCCAGTAAAGACAGGGAAAGAAAGGAGAGACAGAAGCAGCAGATAACCTTCTGGCCACTTAAAAACGATTGACTCTTCCTGCAGTTAATGCACAAGGAAACCAGATATGCTTGCTTTAAAATAGCAAAACATACCTCCAGATGTAGTTTCCATTCCAGCAGATCCATCTTCTGCCCCCAAATCAACTGCATACAACATTTATTTTCACTTGACTGCAAAAAGCAATCAATAGCATCTTCTACTTAAGTCAGCAGGGAATGAACAAAAAAAATAATCGTAGCACACGTGAGGCCCAGTTTATGGGAATACATGTTTAAAGCCATACTGGCCGAGACTCTCCCTAGTTTGTATCTGTGCTCTTATATAGCCCAGAACCCTTATCCTGAAGTGAGCGACCGAACACTCCCAGCACTAGAGCTGTTGCTTTGCCTATTGGAAAGCCTGACCTCAGTGTGGTTTCATCTCCAAGATAAATGACCCTAGAGTACTGCAAGATCAGGAACTTTGTAGAAAGCAGATGACAACTGAGGGAGAAAAAAGCAATTGTGCAGTAGCCTCATCTGAAAATATTTATTTGGAAACTGCTAATCGCAGGAAAGACAGAAGCAAACATGAATAATGCCCTTCAGAGATCCACTATTCAGCAACCTCAGCTCCTCCAATCTCTCTTACAACCAGAAAAGTCAGTTCTGCTTTCCAATAAAATAAAGTAAAATTTAAAAAACTAAAACAATAAAATCCACACCAATCAAAAAACCCAACTCACCTACTGACACCAATTTTGCAAAGGTCAGTTAACACTATAACATTCCATCCCTTTCAGACAATCTTATTAGATACATAAATATTTCATAAATTCTAAAGAAAAAACACACACACACAAAAAAAAAAAAAAAATCACTGCTCAGTGAAAGAACTGTGCTCATAAAAGTGTAACAAAACAATATTAAGAAATTCAGATACAGAAGTACCAGTTGATTTGAAGACTTTCACAGGATTTTCTTAACAACTAGTTTTGATTTAAAAGGTTTCTGTACTTTTTTTCTTCTTGAATCTGCTGAGAAAGCTGAAGTTCTCAAGAGGTATAATAATTTCTAATATCATCACAACTAGCATTTTTATCTGTCAGTCATCTAACTTACAGTCAAGTGATCCATGTAAACCAAGTCACAAGAGCTGGGAGGTCTTGTTAGATACATGACATTCATAACTCAAGTCAAAACAGTGAAGTTCTTGTATTTGCTATACAAATAGAAACTGTTCATTTCCTAAAGTCACATGCTGAGTTAGCCAATTTATTTCTAAAAGCAGTTGTCCTAGACCAGTTTCAGCATTCCTTAAGGCTAACACGCTGTTATTGAAACAAATCTTTTTTAAGTTCTAATACTTTGTTTCAGTAGAAGAGAAAAAAAATTCCAGTCTGTGTCAGTTCTCGAATGCCAGCAAAGAAGGCCAAGAAATGACGTATCTTTGGAAGCAGGATGTCAGAGCTGCCCATCACTTCTGCTAACAATCCCTTCCTCGGTCATACAGACAGACAGTATCATCTCCTGAACCATAAGCTAAGCAGCAGTGAGCACATGCAAACAGTCTTCCTTCACAACGTGGAACTCATCAGTTAAAAACAGAAAAGACAGACTTAGGTCACAAGGCATCTATGCAAATCATGATCTTGAATAAGGCCACAGAAGAGGCAAACGCAGCCTCTCAGTAGCTATTTTCAAAAGATACGGGAAAATTTCACGTTACTAATAAATCTCTAGTGAAATCTGCTTAGCATGTTCCACAGAAATTCTGGTTACTTGTGCAAACATATCAGTAGCATTCTGAAACAGGGCAACTCCTGGGGCTTGAGGTTTTTTGTTTGTTTTGTTTGGGGTTTTTTTGTTTTTTGTTTTTTTGGTTTTTTTCGTTTTGTTTTGTTCATGCATGATTTGAAAATACTCATGTTGAAAGAAAGTTTATGAAACTCTACAACACTTCTACCTACAACAGATTAGACTGGATGACCCAGAAATACACCAACATACCGAATTTCTGTGTCAAGTAGTTCACATGAGAAATATTTAGCTTCCGGCGTAACCCCCATCCTACTTTGCTCTGTACCCTCTTACCAAGTGGGGGGCAGAAAGCAATCTCATCTTCCTCCTCAAGCTCTTCTTTTTTCTGCAGCACTATTGGAAAACTCTTAACCACCTTCACTCTGTAACAGAAAACTTCTTATCCTCTTCATCTCTTTGAAAACCCACACCTCTAAATCTTGAGAGGTTTTTCTTCACAGATTATTATGGGCTAATTTATGCACGAGTCTTCCTCTACAAGCTTGGCAAAAATCTTCATCTGTTTCTCTTTCAAATGCAACCTCTTCTAGACCTCATCACCCACACTGACCTCCTTTCTTCCTCAAGCTCCTACCACCATCACCGCAATACCTTTGTGCTTGCCATAGTAGCAAATGAAACACCACCTGGATGTTATTTACTTTCTGAAGGGCTGTGGGCTGTACAAGTCATTTCTGCACCTGGTTTCAGGGACAGACACAAAAGAAAGGACAAAAGAGCCATGGGAGAGACTATACAGAGGAGCCTGTGGGAAACACTAAAAATTACTCATCACCACTTGCACTATCCACTTGGGCAGGAAGCAAAGCCACGGTATAGTCGCGCTAGCAGCTCTCAGTGAGGCACAGTTATGAAATACTAACCATCTCTTCCTAGATTGGGGTGTTTTTATTAGAATGCATTGCAGGCAACTAGTTAGGCAGGTTTGGTTTAGTGCTGCTGCTCCTTTTCACACATATTAAGAGCACTCAGTGGTAACAAGTATTTTCAGGATTCACAGGTAAATCTAGTATTGAGGCTTACTTAGCTATTAAGAGATTATAGTGAGGCATGAACACCTTCAGCCATTCTATTTTCCTCAAAATAATAAGTTTCATCAAGAAAAAAAAAATAATTAAAGTGAAGAGCAAAACACAGCTTTTCAGATACCATCACTGGTAGAGATTTTGCTGCAGAGAAAGGTAGTTGTTCAGGATGAAACACGTTGCTTTCTGACTTGGATCAGTATTTCTGTGATTTACTCTGTCACAGGATTACATTAGTAAACAGCACCTACAGCTGAAAACTCAAATTACTTACATTCAATACAATGTCAGAGGCAATACTAATATATAAATACATAAATTATTACAGACTCTCAAATATATTACAAGTATGAACTTGCATTGGCACATAACACTCCAGTTTCACATTCAAGACTATAATCCTTGCCACATAGATGAGGTGCCTCTCTCTTAGCAGCAAATGTAACTGCAGTACACACATACCCATTCCCCCATGATCTTACTGCCAGCATTGTTCATTTGCAGCATTTAGTCAACTTGAGTGCAAGTTTCATTTCCTGACACACTCGTGCTATACGACTTCAGTAATTTAAATTCTGCAGAATAGCAGTAT